TTGAACTGCATTGATGAGTTGACTTGGAGGTGCTGAAGTTTGATCATGTGCATAAAGATTTCCAGTAGTGACCAACCTCTCATTGCAAAAGGTCAACAAACAGAACTCACACATGCACAGGTCTAATGTAAGCCAAGTAGTTATGGAGCTGCATTGAAAGCTTCCCAGTCAAATAGACCTGCCTGGATTTCAATTGGTGAGTGATATTTTGGCCTTTGTGATACCACACCTGTAAAATCATTTAATTTCCTCACCAGTAAGTGTTCCTTGAGGCAGACTATGTATTACAAATGAGCACACAAGTCTTCTCATTTCCCCTAGCAGGTTGGCCACAACCAAAGCTCCCACAGGGGCCTCTCTTTGTCTTGCCTTGTGGATCTAAAACAATTGCTATTGATTGATTTGTCAGTGGGATTTCTTGGAACAGAGGATGGCTTGAGTAAGGACTTTCCTGGCATCATGAAATTATTTTGCAGAGTTGGAAAGACTGGATTTGTTGAAAAAAAAAATCAACAAAATCAGAACAAAAAAAAAATCAACAAAAATCAACTTTAAAATAAGAATTTATGTAATATCAGATTAGATCAAGTTTTAATTTTGTTTGAAAAAAATCAAATTTTTCCAAACTTTAACATGTCCACAAGACCAGCATTTTGTTTTTCTCATTTTCCAGCCGCAACTCAAACCGCAGTTAATCAATCCAAGACCACACATACAGTACACACAGAAAAGCTGATTATCTTCCTTCCAGTTATTAAAAAAAACAATTGGAGGATTATAGCAGCCTTTCTAGTGTCTGCAGGCATTCTTTAGACTCAATAAACTGGGTTCCATGAGTCAGGCAGAAAGAAGAAAAAATGATGGCTGATATATGGCTTTCATTTTCCATTTGTGTATCATCCTACTATTATTACGAAAAAATAAAGCAAAGTATAAAGAACTAATCATGAAAATTACTTACAAGCATGTTTTTTTTTTGTTATTTTTTACAGCAGAGCTGAGTGTTCACCATTCCTCTCTACAGTATATCCAGCAAGGAAAATCTGGCAGTCTGAGGACCAGTGTGGTCCATACGGTTGAGTTAAGTAGAAGCCAGTTAAAGTAAGTGTGATTCAATTTGGTATGCATCAGAGTTATTTGGCCTGACACAGAGAGGACTGGCTGGGCAAAGTGGAGGAGGAACAACGATCGACGACCAGGAGAAGAAAAGAACACCATGATCATCACCGGCCAATCGATATTCACCATCACCCACGAGCGAGCACCGACGAAGGAGATCCCGCTGGACTGCTCAGGATCGGGCTTCGATCAGCCAGCCCTGGTCGTCCCGGGCGAGATGATCGCCTCGTCGAAGTACTGGATGCGCGGCCATGGGACGTTTATCGAGGAGCAGTCGGAGGAGCAGGAGGGCGGCGAGCTCGACGGAGAGACACAGACTTCCGAGGGACTGATTCGGAGCAGTCTTGCCGGGACGGTCGAACGGATCAACAAACTGATCACCGTCATCCCTCTTAGCGGCCGGTAGGTCGGTCCTTTTTAGGATGCTTTCTTATATCCCTCGATCTCGTACTTATTCATCCTCTCTCCTTCCCCAAATCCCCCTGATTTAAGGTACCGTCCTGAAGTGGGCGATTTGGTCATCGGAAGAATCACCGAAGTCCAATCCAAACGATGGAAAGTCGAGGCTGGCGGCCGTCAACATGCGGTACTGATGCTGGGATCCGTCAATCTCCCGGGCGGCGTCCAGGTTAGTCCAGCGTGTTCTTATTCCGGGGGGGTTTTTTTTTTCTCTCAAGCGAAGTATTCGGTCACAGAACTGAGATCGACTATCGATTCCTTCTTCTTCCTCCATGTCGATTGGAAAAACCCAGCGAAGAAAACTGGAATCCGATGAGCTTCAGATGCGCTTCTTCTTCCAAGAGGGCGACCTATTGGTCGCAGAAGTGCAAGGGTTTTTTGGCGATGGATCGATGAGCTTGCACACACGTTCCAGGAAGTATGGGAAGGTGAATGGCTCTCTCTCTCTCTGTCTGCTAACTTTGATACTCGCATCCTGTTGAGTTTGAACTAACTCTGGTTGACCAACACCGTTGCTGCTGTTTCTACCAATAGCTACGAAACGGAATGCTCTTGAAAGTGCCTTCGCAATTGATCCTACGCCTCAAGTCGCATTTCCACATCTTACCGATCGGGATCGACCTGATCATCGGCGTGAATGGCTGGATATGGATTGCCCAACAACGGGCGCACACGGAGCTCGACGAGTCACTCAAAGAGGCCTTCGAAGCAGAAGCTGATAACATGTACTCTGATGTCAACGAGGTAAGCGATTTGTCGACTTGAGTTTCTGAGTAAATACCCAAAAAAAAAAAAAAAAGAAACAGATCTTGACCTGTTAATATATATATTTATATTTCGCATAAAAAAAAGCCGATCTCGACCAAGACTCGAGCAAACATAGCCCGTCTAGCAGGCGCAATCAATCTGCTCTCGACCCATTCGATCCCGATCTCCGATTCGTCGATCCTGCGGACCTACCAAGCCAGCTTAGAGATCTCGCGTCTATCCAGGCTGGACGACGATCAACCGATGGACGTCGATGGCTCCGAGGACCCTAGTCTGGCCGCAAAACATGAGCTCGACGGGTTCTTGAAACCCGAGTTCAGGGAGAAGGTCTTGGCCCTTCTCGTTGCTTCTTCGTAGATATAACTCTCCAACTCCCCGCCGCCAATATCCTTCCTTTCTTTTTCTCTTGGGTTAGTCGTCAGTAGACTCCACCGTTGGGTGTGTGTCCTGTCGCTCTCTTAACTCCTTGGAGTCTCTCAAACGCCTCCTGTCCACTATCTGCCTCACACACGATCTCGCTCAAAGACTCCCAGTTCGACCACATTTTGAGGAGACGAAACTATTTTGTTTAAATGAATTGTGTAATATTAATTCAACGCAAGCTAGAAATTGATTTCTTTGGAGCCATGCTCAGAAGAATGAAACCTATGTTCTTAGGGAAGCCTGAGTTTGTCAGGACTAGCACCAGCCTTGACACTATCACCCCATCTCACTTTGAGGACAGCCGAGCTCATACAATCATGTGCAAGTATCCCCCAATTTGCAAAAGTGATATCAGTAGATTTTGACCCGTTTTTTCTTTGGATGTGACAATACTAGTACACCACGGGTGCGGTCCTGGAAATGGCGCTCCGTCGGCTCGACCCCGCGGTCGAGCACTGGTTGGCCATAACCATTTTTGCGCAATCCCGCCAAACCAGGCGGGCTGACGGCAGCTACAGGTAGAAGAACAGCAACACCGCCGTTGGCCTGGCCTCAAGGCCAAAAGCGTCGAGCCAACTGCTTCGTCAAGCAGCAGTTGGCTCGACGCGCCATGCAAGGTCATGCGGCGGGTTTCGATCAACCTCAATCGGTAGCAACCACCCAAACAAACACCAGGAAGAATGACGTCGATCGCCAAGAATCACAGCCCTAGTATCACCTTTGCCGGCGATTCAGCCGATTTTCCCATTGTGATTGCCAATGATCCTGCCAAGAGCCCCACCCAAGCTATCAGCCCCGTGACCGCACAAAAGTCAGCCAACAAAACTGTCGAGAAAAAATCCCCAGAGAAAGGGCCCAAGGCCTCGGTATGTCATGATTCTAGGAGTATAACCCCCCTCCCTATTCCTTCTGACCGGAACTAATCGTTCATTCATTTCTTGTTATTCCAATCAGACTTCTGGGAATCAAGAGGTCCGACGTTCTCGCCGCATCTTCCGCCAGGATGAAGGACTCGGCCGTTTTATTATTCCACCCGGATACTTGCTTTCCAATGAAATCAATATCAAGGACCACCACCGCTCTTAGATACAGACAATCTCATCGCCTCAGACCACTATCAACAATTGTTACCAAAAAGTCAAGAAGTCGATCATCAACGACATCAAAAGTATTGTTGTAACATGATCGTTTTTTGTTTCCTTGTCCTTAAGTCGATCATCAACGACATCAAAAGTATCACTGTAACATAATTGTTTTTTGTTTCCTTGTCCTTTTCTTCTGAAAACACAACCCCTAACCACCACCAAGATATAAAAAAAAAAGGATGACTAGTGAAAACATTTATTACTTTTAGGCTAATCTTGGATCAACTTGTTGTCCAGAGTTGTTTGGTGTAGCTCGTTTACGTTTTTTCGATTCTTTCTTTGTTGCACTCGTACACCAGTTTTTCACTCCATCATGCAGAGCGTTAATCCAATCCAGTGGCTGCAAAGCTGCGAAATTCAAACCCGAAATTTTCCTGTGAGAAACTTGAGCCGAAAGCGAGGCCGAGTTGATGACATAGTTGTCATCATCGTTATGTATCACTTCAGATCGTTTGACAGTACTCCTCCTCCTCTCAATCATAACTTCTTCGGTTGGGGTGATGGTGCATCCGCCTCGGTCACAGTTGTGCTGGCAATTCAATCCAGACTTGATGCACTAAAAAAACACCATCATTGTCAACTTTGCAGGCAGTAAGGTAAAAAAATCTGGCTTACATTTGAGTTCACCAAACTGGTCTGCATAGTTTTTCTGATCTGTCGCATTCTGTAATAAGTGCTTTCCTCTGTAATTTGAAAGATAGTTACATCAATGAAAAATTGAACTTGAAGAGAATCTTTTTTGATTTTCCAGAGTGATTTCACACGTCCAATATGTTGGGTTCCATCAAATTTATTGTTAAACTAAAAAAAAAAAATCAATCAATGAAATTTCAATATTGTGAAATGAAGGAGAAAGAATGCAGATCAAGAAGAAAGGAGAAATACCAGAATAAAATAATGCTTCTTGAGGACTTGCTTGTCATTCAGATTCAACTCAGATATTTGCTTGATTTCTTCCCCGGGATGTGATGATTTCAAGTCTTGAGGAACCTCTGATTTATCAAGTTTTGCAACTGGGATTTTATGAATAGAAGGATAGTGGATATTCTTTGAGGATGAAGTATTATTATACCCAAAGGTTTTCTGAATTAAGGGATTATATTTAAATATATTTGTAACTGGGTTGGAAGCTTGTACATATTTTTTTTGTTTTTTATCAAAAAAGAATCCCACTAGAGAGAATTTGGCGGAAAGAGTTATAATTGCTGAATGTAATGGCAATATCTTGGCCAGGGCTTTGGCGGTTGGAATGAATTGAGGCATTTCTAAGAATACCATTATAAATTTCAAATTTTTCTGTTGCAAAAAGGCAAGCTGGACCAAATCGGAGAATAGAATCTGGAAGATGAAGTAGCATGTGGAATTTTGGTTTATTAACCCATTGGCCAGAATCTTGAATAATTTGATTTAAGAATATATCAATAAGATTCTTCAAATCAGTAATATAAACTGACATGTCCTCAATATGTGTTTGGAAGATTAAAGAAGAAAGATGGCAGAGAGAAGACCAGATTTTGATACGGGAAGGCGTCATAAATTGGAAGAAAATGAAGGGAGCTGCTTGAAGGATGATTCTAAAGTCTTTACCAACTATGCTTGAACAATATTGTACCATACTAGTGGGCCTGATTGAAGGAATATTTAGAGAGTTGGTGTTGAAGGAATACCATAAAGCTGTGAGTTCTTTTCTTTTATCTTCATCTAATCCACTCATGAATTCTGTAAATAGGTACTTGACAATTCCAAGCAAGAAGACATGTAAAATTTCAACCGGGGTGTCCCTGACCATGTCAAAACCTAAGGGAAATTATGCAGGAATTAGAATCAGAATGGAAATTTGAAAATAAAAGATATAAAAACACAAGCCTTTTAATTTCAGAAAAGGACTGAGAACCCGTGTTTTATCTTTTGATTCCAAATCAACCAAGTCTGGAGGAATAGGTTGATCCATGTCCGGCGGTATTTCCTTTCCATCTAAGAGCAATTCTTTCTTTTTCTCTCTGAATGAAATGATTTGTTTTGCAAACTTGCGGTTCGTTTGATCTCGAATTCCAAACTCAGCCGATTTTTCATTCAACTTTTCCAAATTCAGTGTGAGTGCGTTTTCTTTGACGTATCTCCAAACCTCTTCACTGTCTTTAATTGTTTTTTCTGTAGTTCTCAGATTATTGGGATGCTTTTTTATTAACAAAACAAGGAGACAATTAGAAAAAAAACTGCAGTAGCTTTGAAAAAGAAGAAAGCAAAATACATTTGATCCATGTGTGTTTTTATTGACGAATCTTGAAATGTAACCGAGTGTATTCCTGTCTTTGATCGTTTTGGAACTGAGGACACAAACTCGACAGGGATTCAACGAAGGTCCAGGGACAGGAGTGTTGGTTATCTCAGCGTGCATCGGAGAGTCGGCCAAGAAGCATAACAGTGGAGCCATAACAAGAACATTTTGAGACAGAATCATGTCATATGCTTCAAATCCATCATTCACCATCTCACTGAATGAATAAAAGTATTGAAAATTCAGTAAATTGAACAAAAATCATTTCTCATAAAAAGGATTAAATTAGGATTGAACAAATAATAATTGTACTTTAACTGTTGGACCACAATCTCTCCAAGGTCCAGAGCTCCAGCAATGTTAGAAGTGCACAAGAAATGGCAGTTGAATTGTTGATTTGAGAGATTCGGAGGTAATCCGGAGAGTGTAAAGTAATAAGAGATGTGTTTGTTCCACTCCTTTGATTTATTTCCAGAAGTATCATCACAATACATGTTCACGGGTACGTGTCGAATGATCCTCCCGTTGGCTTTCTCCCTCCAAGGATTTGGTAGCTTGATTGTGCCTTCACTGTTTTGCTCTTTACAAAAGTCAAAACACATATGGTTGAGCTATCTCTTCTTTTTTGATTAATACAAAGCATATTTCTTACCATAAAGCAAGTTCTCACAGTATTCCAATAGTTTTCGACCATCACTTGAAATGATTTCAGAATAGAGAAGATCAAAATCCTCCAAGTTGATTTCTTGTAAATCAGGATCATCATATAAGATATCACTGGCAATAGCTATCTTCACCGTAGAGTCGTGCCGGTTTGATGTAATTTGTGGTTTGTAGCATTTTGCAAAGGTGTTAGATTGAAGTGTGTAGAAAAATATGGGAATAATGATATCGTCATTCTTGAGTTGGACCGGCTCATAAGTATAGTAGTGTTTCTTGTTATAAGCCACCATTTGTACACGTATATCTGGCGCAAGATGTTTGAGCCACTTTGCTGACTGTGAAGTCTTAAATATGCCTTTGCCATGTGCATCTTCCGGCAGGAAATCCAAGTGGGGGGCGACCAAGGGATTCCTTAAATCCTGCCAAAAAAAAATTGATGTTGGGAATTAACAAACACTTTCTCTCAAGTTCACAAATTAGGGAATTGCTGACATCTGAAATTATCTCTCTAGCATCCAGCGCAAACATTGGCTGGCCAAATACGGATTCCTTTTCGACCAGAGAGTGGTGACTCATGAGACGTATCTTCTGACGTGTCCTCCTTAATGTCTCCCATCCTGGCAGATGGATATGGTGCAATGTGAGTATGCTTCGAATTTGATGATATAGATCTTGAGAGATGATCTTGTGCAAGTATCCCACAAATAAGGATCCAATAAGATACTAGAAAAGGGTTAAGAATCAGTTTGAATTATTGGACTGATGAATTTTTTTTGCTGAAGGATATCATTGACACACGTCCTTGTTTACAAATGGGAACCACGCAGAGTCAACTGTCATAATCTCCTCAATTTCGGCCAGGTCACGTTGGAAAGCAGGTACTAGAAGTCCATCAAAGGAGTCGGCCGGTTCATCATCAATCTGATCAATTGCAACACCGAGTAAGTTCAACCAGTCCAGCTCTTCCTCCTCATGTTCACTCTCGCCATCTTCAAACAAACTGATTGGAACCACATCGCTTTCATCATCGGTTTCATTCACTAGAGGTTCAACTTGCTCATCGGAACAAACGGGGTCGTCGCATATAGGTTCTATCTCGATCCGTGGCCGGTTTGACTCTTGTTGGTTTAAAGTCTCATTCACATTGATCCTCTCTTGTTGTCTCTCAATACGCTCTTCATCCAATCGCACAAGGTTTAGATGACGTTGGCCGCGTGCATGCTTCTTTTGGTTGCTGGTGCTCTTTCCACGACAGAGGATACAACTGAATTGGTTCGATCCCTCCTGAAAAAAGTCTATCGAAAAAAGTGTGTCAGTCTGGTGAAATTTTTCATCTCTTTCCACATCAATTTGATTTCCTCTCACATTTATCCGGCAGCATGTTTTCGACTTATTGTTTTTTTTTCTCTTGATCGGGATGGCTTGATTGGATTGTAAGTCTTTTGTTGTGATGTTTGAATTGAATTTTGATTGTTGACCGTTGACTGTTGACCTTTACCAAATTGTGGTTATAATTGTTTCTGACATCAACCTTGAACACTTGATATTTAAGACCGCGTCATCATCAATTTATGTATCTCGATCTTGTTCACGAACAAACCACAGCTTCTGATAGCACCATCATCGAACTGACCTTTTCCCTTCATTCTTAATCTCACTATGGACTTCAATGATCCAGTTTTTGGAGGTGATGGTGATCCGACTGCTTCTTATTGTCCAGATGAAGAAGACAAATCCCCTCCCCACTCGACTCCTCTTCCCTCCTCTCCTCAACACTTGCCAGAATCCCAAAGATCATCAAAGCGTGCGAGGCAAGCATCCCTGGAGTCAGGCAACGAAGATGACATCATGTGTGATACCAATACTCAACTCGACTTTTCTCGTTTGCCACCATTGACCCATATGGATAAAGTCTGCTCTGCACTTAAAGCCCTTCATCATCTTGATGATGAGCATGATAAGATTGCTCACAAAGCAAGCACCGTAAGTCATTCCGATCTTTCTCATCAATCGTTTTCTCTCCAAATTGTTAACATCTACTTTTTCTCCAGTGTCCCACACCCGAGAGGCATGCAAATGTCATGTATGCTCTTCTTGCGGCCCAACAACATCAGACCTCAGTTGAAGCATTTGTCCCATACGGTGACACATTCAAGGTGAGGTTAATCTCATTACATCTTCTCACATCTCCATTCCAATTCATTTTGACCTCCATCAATCTCGCCAACAAGACTTTTGTGAGGACAAACGCCCGAATGTCGTTCCTCATTCCGACTCTTGAGGCTTACTCAAACAATCCGAATAAAAGTGGGGCACTCCCCAAGAGTCTGTACTACCTTTTGTTGGTACGATATCCAATTTCTTACCCGATTACCTTTCCTGGTGACTTATTGCTTTTCTTTGACCAGGATGCTGTTCACAAACAGCCTGACGAGTGGAGAGACGACAACCTTCCTCCAAAACAACTCAAAGGGGAGGCGCCAGCTATGAAAATGTATGCTCAAGTCGTCGGCGAATTGTTAAAACACCAACGAAGTCACCTTCGTGTACTGGTGAGTCAGTCTTTGTTATCTTCTAACTCATGTTGGTGAATGACATTCAATCGAATTCCATATTTCCGATGCTTAGATTCTGAACAACATCCTCGAGACCAAAAGAATTGAGATTACAGGTCCAGTCCCTAATCGACATGCGTTGGCCACTTCGGTGAGGGTCTTTCCCATCTACTTCTGGCTTCTGAAATGAAAGCTAACTCGAGTTTTTTTGTGCTTTGTTTTGCATGCTTGCTTTACAGATCTATTCTGACCTCCCGCCCGAAAACCGAAAGTGGACTGAAGAACAGATCAAGACCCGAGTCGAATCCAACTGGCTCATGCGAATTCGTATGGCCTATCTTCGACTCGTTCTTGTTTACTACTACACTCACCCATCATCAAAGGGTACACAATGGGGTGCAATTGACGACCAACTTGCAATCCTCCGGAATTCAACTTCTGAGTTTCAAACCATGTACGTCATATTTCTTTCTTTTTCCGATAAGTGAGTTGTCCTGACATGTCTTTTTAATCAAGGCATGCAACCCTTGTCTTAAAAAAGGATAAGGAGCTATTTTCACATGGAAGGTACTTCAAAAAGATCCCAAAGGAACACTTCACTGTTCCTTCCGTCGATGATGTCATCATTGCCCTTTCTGAAAAAGAAGCGACTCGAGAAATGCGAGCTTCGCAAGCATCGACTTAACTTGACTCATCTTCTCATTTCCTGCCTTTGTTTCATATTCGTTATTTATTTCTCTTTTTTTTATTGATCCTTTCTCTGTACATGTTAAAAAACCTGATTGCTATCAGATTAGCGAGTGTTTTCAAGCAATAAAAGCAACTTCCAGCCTGCGCGTTGCATCCTTGCGCTAGCCTACACCCTGAGCGGCCGACAGTGAGTGTACTGCCAGCCGCGGGGAACTGTTTCTCCGACGAGCTCCGGTTGACAGCTGACTGTACGGTATCGTCAGCAGCTGCCGTCGAGCCACCACTGGCTGTTCCTGCAAAGCCAACGAATACACTTGACGACAAGCCTTGGTCTGCTCCAGCTGAGAATCCTACGTTCACAGTTGACCGCAAGCACTCGCCAGCTGCCATCGGCAGGCCAACATCGACTGTCAGCCCCATGTCGACGTAATGCAGTCAGGGAGGCCGCCGCAAACCAGCCCTGCAACCGCGGGCAAGCCAACGTTGCAGGGTCAAGCCGACCGCGGGGATTTACGCCCCCCGCTATGAAGCACCCCCAATCTTTCGTCGGGGCGGCACGGGTCAAGCCAACGGAATTCTTTCCGTCGAGCATCCGTCCACCAGAGCCTGTGGTGTAGGAATATGATGGCAGACGTGGGAGGTCGATGCAGTAAAAATGTTGTTGAATGTCCGTGTTGCATATCTATACATTAGAGTATTTGTGATAGAAGAATTGAGTTGTGATCTAGCTTGACGAGAGTGACCGAAGACGGGTAGACAGAGCTTAGCGTTCATAAGACGGTAGAAAGGAAATGAGGAGGACGGTGACTGGGAGATGGAAATGATGGAAGCGGGAGGAGAGTTAGTTTTTACTGGGAAGGTGTTTCTTGTAGTAAAGACAGGAGCAGATCCAGGCGAAGGCGAGCCAGACGGCGGCGGTGGAGATGATCAGAACGGGCCACTCGTCGTGCTGGACGCCGACGGGGACCGACAGACGGATGGGAGATGATGGATGATCATCAGCGTCCACGGTGGGGAGGCCTTGGAGGGGCTGGAAGGGGCTGGAGAAGAACTCGTTGAGGAGTCGTATTTCGTCCGAAGTGATTGCGGGAAGACTTGTTTCTGAAGCGACGGGGGCTGGAAGGAGGAGGAATCTCAGGATCTACGGCAGGATGTGGACAACAAGAAGAAGGATGATGATGATGAATGATGATGGACTGACTGGATTGGTTGCACCACTTGACCAACGAGGGAGGTTGGATGAGCACTTCTCTTACCGGCCGCCGATCGGTCTTGGGATCCAGGATGGGCGGGAGGTAGCGCAGATGGAGAGGGACGATGATGGAGAGCGAGCCGGTGAAGGGGAGGGGCAGCGGGACCATGAGGCCGCCGAGCCCGGGCGGATCCGGCCGGGAGGCTGGCCCCTCGAGGTCGGGGTCCGTCCAGACGAGCAGGTCCAACAGGCCATCCTTCTTCGGGACAACCCTCGGCTCGCTCAGTCGGCCCTCCTCGTACAGCTCCCGGAGCTGGTATCGATCCACGATCACCGTCCCCGGAAGCCCAGCGAAGACCAGCCCAACCGCACACTCCTTCAGCCCCTCGACTTCGTCCGAGCTCAGCGTCACCGTCGTCCGTAGGCTCGGATGGAATCCATACACTCGCTCGCTGAGTTCGGTCGTCAATCCAACCATCTCGGATTCCGGTTATTTCTCGTTCGTCTTGATGGTGGGCGCCATGGTTTCCGGGAACACATCCTGTTGGGCAATGTGGACGATCGAGTAGGAGGCCCCTTGCTGTGCAAGCGCGCCTCGACGTAGCCCCACATATTTTGCAGTCGCGCAAAGGGAAACAGGCACAACAACCCCATCAATCAATTTGTCGGCTGAGTTGAATAAAATAAATGTATTGACTGCTAAGATCGCCTGTTAAATCACAATGAAAGGCTTTGCCCAACAGCATAAATTTCGATTCCACTCTTCAAGATTTCTATGTTTAAAATTAGAGGCTACGTCAGAACCATGCAAGATTGATATTTTGTTTAACAAATCCAGTACATACATAATCATTTGCTTGAGAGACATTTATAGACATCCAGACAGCTTATAAAAAAAACACACACACCAGATAAAGAGATACAATTTTACATCTATTTGTTACATCTATGTATCCATTTAACAAATTTTTATGAATGACTGACTGACTGATACAAAACTACAAAGAAGATACACAAATGCGGATTGCAGCAAAGAAGACGAGTGAAGTTGCAGCAGGAGTTTGACTAGAAGGAGTATTTGAAGTCGGGGTGTCTGTCGCCGAGATATTCCCAGCCGTTGAGGTAGAGCAGCTCTTGGACGCTGGGGTCGACGGCCTGGTCGTTCAGGGCATAGTGTTGCAGGACCTCGTCTCGGCGATGGATCTTCACCGCCTCGACGTATGTCAAGTAGCCCAGATTCGCCAGACAGCTCACGATGATCAGCATCGCGCTATGTTCATGTTTGGATCCATAGAAATTCGGAAACCCCCCCACAGAAATTTTCACTGTTAGCTTCCATCCTTATCATCTGCCTTTGAAAATGGCGCCTGTCCCAAGAACGCCGACTAGGTAGTTAATCACTTACAAGACGATATTGACCATGACTGCAACCGAAAAATTGGGCTGGTCGGTATTTGGGAACAGCTGGACGATTCAAAGGTTAGCACTTTTCACAGATAAAATCGACGGCCTGTAGGAGATACTGCTAGGAGTGAGGAATTAGCTGAGGACATATGAATAGAAAATACGGACCAGAGAGCTGATCAATGCGCCCAGATTTGCGGCGATTGGTCCGAGAGCCAAGCTAGTAGCCTTGCGCGCATAGGGTTCGCTATTGCTGCTCATCCAGGCCGCCAGACAGGGGATCGTGGCGTAGGCGCCCATGACGATCAGGAACAGGGCGCCGTACTTCAGACTGCCCTCCTCGGAGACATAGAGGATCGAATAGCCTACCGCTGAGACCCCCCCTGAGACCACCGAGGCCATCGCTCGGGATCGGTGTCGGTCCGATAGATACGACGTAAGTAGGACCGTCACCACCCCTAGCGTGTAGGGTGGAACTGTGGTTGTTGTTGGGTCATCGTCATTCGTAAAATCGGTCCTCGTCAGACTCGCGTCTTGTTTCAAGATTTTTTTTTTTTCAAGTTGAAATCATACTAACTTACTCGATAACGTCTGTGCGACCGATGGCCCATGTCCAAGCTGGAAACCAACAGATAATGATCAGGACTCTTGGGTAGGCGAAAACCTGCGCGCAAAAACAGCTGAAAACCTACTGAATTCAATACTAAAAAAAGCGCGAACAAGACGGGATTGTCAGACAGATAAAGTGGCAAGGCTGGTCATTGGCATTCAGCTGAGGAGTTACTGACTGCTTGACTGGAAGTGGATGATACTGGCGAGATTAGTTCCAGCGAAGAAGAACGCCAGACAACACAAGACTACGTGTGGACTGCGGATGGCCTTCCAGATCTGGAAGCCGGACGACCTGAACGGCTTGGCATCCAACAACCCGGCGTCGGTGACCGGACTACGATCCTTCTCCAGTCGCTCAGAGACAGCCCTGTGGATAGGACGCAAAATCAACAAAAAGACTAGCAATTTTTTTCGAAGACGTACCGTTTCTCGTCAGCCGTCAGAAAATGGGCGTCTTCAGGCGATGAAGGAAACCACAGAAAGCCCACCGTGCCAGCGACGATGGTCAAGCTCCCCTCGATCTTTCGATGCCCAGAGTTTGTTTTGATTTCCAGAAAAGAAAGATTGAGCAGGTTAGAATGATCGATGAACCTTCAAAAGAGTCGAGCAGAGGAAGAAGGACTCAACCAGGAAGACCCACGCCCATCCGGGGAGTCCGAGGGCGCCGTCGAGGCGGGTGAAGGCGTAGGCCAACGAGCCCGAGACCCCTGCCGCCAGACATCCGCTCGAATAGAACAACCCCATCCTCCACTGAAGCTCCGCCCTTCACACACACGAGGTCACCATCCAAATCGGTAAGCAACATGCGCCAAACTGGGCCGAAGTGCTGAGATCGTCGAAATCTCCAGAGCCACTCACCGGGTATAGCAAGCGACTGATAGGTACAGTAATAGGCCCGGGAAAAGGCCGCCTGTCCC